GTACTTCCTACTTGCATCCAATGTACACATCAGCCATAATCACGTATTAAATACCTTGGGTAATAACCAGGATCCGGTTAGTACATTTGTGGTAACTGTGAGAACCAATCTCAAGCACACATTCTAATAATCAATGGTTAAAATTAAAAGGAATCTTAATTAATGTAATTCTAAAAATAAATTATTGTCATTTAATAACATAATATGAATAAGGGCAAGATGGTCATTTTGTTTTTTAATTTATTGAGACGGATTTGAGTCGCGCGCTACAAATCCGTTAATATTCTTAATATACACTGTTCAATTCGAATCCAAATAGAGTGAAGATACCGTCAATTTGTTCGTGAAGGAGACGATTGCCTTAAACCCTAGAGTTGATCGCAAGTGCAACTCTATACATAAACGATGGAGGCTAACGAAGGAATAGGTAAAATCGATTTCTGTTCTACATTTTTAATATGAAGAATCCCGTAACCCTTGTTTCTGTAATGTGGAATGGTACAAGAAGAAGAAGCGGTAGGTTAAAGGCTAAATCGATGTTCAAGTTTTCAAATAAAGAAAGCCAACCCATTGACCTAGACGACGATGTTGAAGACGATGTTGATATTATATCTATCGAAGAAACAGGTATCCTCTTATTACATTCCCTAACATGATTTTAGGTTACTAAACATCAGTTTCAGGTTTTATTGTTGGTGTTTGTTTGTTTTAAACATTCTGGAATGATGAATATTATGTTTTTTTTTTAAAAGAATTTACCACATTTTGATAATAAATTTGTGGTACATTGTCATTACATACAGTATTTATCATAATCTTTTGGAAAATGGTGTGCTACATCGTGATAACATTTACATTTTGTCATAATATTTGTCTGGTCCAAGTAATCAGATTGTGATGAACAATATTTTTTAATACAATTTCAAAAAGTAATCAGATTGTGATGAACAACAATATTTTTCCTGGAAAGCAAGAAATGTTGATGATCATATCTCACCTTCAAAGAAAGTTCAGTGGCGAACTGGTCCAAGTAGCATATTGTTTGTCCTTCTTTAATGGCATCACCCTGTTCAGAAAAGAAACAGAAACCATATGCTTCTGTTTACCAATATGCAGAGGAGAGGATAAACAGTAATGGAGATAGTGCATTGCTGATTGTTTGCATAATAGGTTGAGGAGGTCTAATCAAAAGTTTTGATGAACCACATAAATAAGTGAAACCTAATAAGATAAAGAAAAATATTGAGGTGTGCATAACTTCCTTGTCTCAAAGCAAGTAAGTAAAATGGTATATATCCACACACACACGTCCATATATATGTGTGTGAGTGTGTGGAACCACATGGTATGTGTCATTCCACTCACTTGATGTTCATCAAACCTGTTTAGCTGTTTTAGAATTGTTCTTGGAAGATGAGTTATACTAGCTCCATCAAAAATTTGACGAGCCTTTTGGCTCTAAATTAAAGAAAGAACTTTGGTCTTTCCAAATTTTTAGCAATATTTACATCATTTTTCCTTGTATGTTTGAAAGTTCGGTAACAAATAACAACACTTGTGCAGTTTTTCATAACCTCTATGACCACCTTTAGCAAACAAAAGTATGTAGTTGAGAACATGTTTTCCATCAAGTTCCACACACAGTAACTAACATGTCTTTATAATTCAATCACAATGGTATCTTCTAGATGTTCGGTTGACGAATAAATTTCAATTCTAATATATATTACACTCCAGTCTAATTGTGGTGATTTCATACCAAAACAATAAGAAATTTATTTTGAGAAAAAGTCTCGTTTAATTGGGGATGAGAGGGAATATTTGAAGGTACCCAGGGGAATATGAGTATAAAAGCCTTTACTACCTGCCAAAACAATAGTTTTTAAGATGAAATATCCAAATACATACACAAAAACATGGTTGGACATTAGTTGGTCACCAACTACTTTGAAGTAAGCTCTCAAACTATTCTAAAATTTAATCTGAGATTAAGGTATCAATCATCATAAGTACTTCCTACTTGCATCCAATGTACACATCAGCCNAGTAATATGCATCAATATACAGTACTTTATGCATAACAAAAATATATCAATATTCGTATCAAATTAACTATTTAAAATTCCTCATTTTTTGTGTAATTTTTTAATTCAATTTTTTTATTATAATTTAATTTAGGTACAATAACGAAGTAATTTATATTTGGTTTAATAATATAATTTTCTTATAAACATAATAATTAATTATTTTGTTAGAACTCGATAATTTTATCCTAATCATATTTTAGATTTTTTATTTTTTAAAATAAGATGTTTATCCTCTATTTGATTATATTTATCCGCAATTAGTTATACGAATTCAAAAATCGAGTTTTGATAAGTTGTATTTTTGTATAATTTACTTGTAATATTGAATTTTAAGTAAACATTGGTTTTATGTGGTTTTAAGAAAATGGTAATGTTTTTATTTTTGAATAAAATATAAATTTAAAAAAAAATCATAAAATTTTGAAAAAACATATCGATATCAATATTAAATTAATCTTTTTAAATTTTTTTGTGTTTTGGTGTAATTTCCTTAATTAAATTCTGTTAGTTATCAATGATTATCATAATTATATTTTAGATTTTTTATATTTAAAATGAGATATTTATTCAATATTTGATTATATTTATCTGTAGTTAGTTAGACGAATTCAAGTATGGAGTTTTAATAAGTTGTACTTATGCATAATTTACTTGTAATCTTTTATTTATTTAATATTTGTTTGTACATGGATATATTAATAATAGATAATTGGATAGTAACTATTTACATGTATACACATGAGCTAAAAGGGAAAGCTCATTCCTCTTGTGCATGGTTATCCCATTCAGAACCCAAAAGTCGTCTACATCTTTCTTTCCCATGCCATCCATCAAATCCCAATCAAATAAATAAATAAGATTAGCAAGTAACAGATTCACCATAACATCTCCCATCGAGATTCCGGGACAGATTCTTCGTCCGCCCCCAAATGGGATGAACTTGAAATCATTCCCTCTAAAGTCAATAGCACTTCCCACAAATCTCTCTGGCAAGAACTCTTCCGGCCTCTCCCAACATTCTGGGTCCCTTCCGATGGCCAACGCATTCACGAAAACTAGGGTTTTCGGCTTAATTTTGTAGCCATGTAAAATGGCTTCTTTTGTTGTTTCTCGAGGTACTAAAAAAGGAGCTGGAGGGTATAACCTTAAGGTCTCTTTCACCACTGCCTTTAGATAGGTGATTTTTGGAAGATCATCCTCATCTACTTTACCCTTGTTTCCAACCACATTTCTTACTTCTTCTTGTGCTTTCTTCATTACATTAGGGTTATTTATTAGCGCTGTCATTGCCCAAACCACTGTAGCAGCAGTAGTATCTGTTCCGGCTACCAGTACATTCTAAAACAACAATCAAAACAATTAGACACCGGAGCCAAAGAAAGCAAAGAATGAAAGTGATCAAATATAAAATTTAAAATATTACGGTTTTCATCACAAATGATGTTGAAATAAAAATTGCTTGCGAAATAGATATGATCAGGATTAAGGCACCCCAATAAACTTTTATTCAGCCAATAAAGAGAACATATAGTGATTACCATGAGTATGGCTTTAATGTGATCGTAAGTGAGGTCGAAGAGTTGCTCTTTCTTGAGTCGTAGTAAAATGTCAACAAAATCCTCTTCTTCCTCATGCAACTTAAGTTTTTGAGGGTTGAGGTGTTCATCAATGAGTTGTTGGTAAAACGAATCGGAATATTGGAAGCATTTCTCTACCCGATCCACCTTGCCCAATAACCTATCAACCAAAGCCACAAAAGGCAGACCAGGCCAAAGATCAGAAACAAAGAAATCTGCTGAAATTGCCTGAACTTCAGTAATTAGTCGAAGAACCTCCTTTCTTTCATGTCCATCTTGGTACCTCTTACCAAAACCCACTCTTAACATCATGTTACTCGTCACGCTCTTAATGAGTTCACTCAAATTGACATGCTTAGACGAAAGAGCCAACCCATGTATATTCTTCATGGCACTTGAGACCTCATCTTCACGAATATGTCTAAAAGATGGTACCCTTTTAGGGCCTAGCAAATGAAGCACAAAAATCTTTCTCATCTCTCTCCAGTTCTTGTTGTAGGCCGAAAAAATTACATCGTGAGCATTATAAGTCACCTTTGATACGCCAAGTAATGATGGCCTACTGCAAAATTTAAGATCTTGGGGTTTCAAGACTTCTTTGGCTAGATTTGCTGAAGAAACAACGATAACTGGGATGAAACCAAAGTTGAGAAATACGATTGGACCATATGATTTGGAGAGTTGCCATAGGGAAGTATGTAGGCTTGAGGGATTGATCAGGTGCAAGTTTCCAATGAAGGGTAGCCCAAGAGGGCCTGGTCGACTGAATCTTGATTTGTTTTTGATGATTTTGGGAAGAAGATAGAGGAGAGGTGGGAGGGGAAGACAAAGAAGAAGAAATTGAAGAAGCAAGTCCATTGTTGAGATATAAATCTATATTTGAGTTTTGGTTAATTATATATAGACTAGATAAACCAATGATAATACAATCAAAATTATAAATCATATATATATATATATATATATATATATATATATTTTTTTTTGAATTCGTTACTTTTTTATTACATTAACTGCAGATAAACATAATCAAATTACATGATAAACACCATTTAAAATATAATTAAGATAATCATTGGGTTCTAACAGAATACTTAATTATTATCTTAAAAAATTACTTTAATAAACGAAAAATAAAATTAGTTTATTATTAAACTTTAATTAAATTATAATAAAAAATTAATTTATTATAAAAAATCGAGTTAAGATGTCAAAACGTCTTTTATCACTCTATAAAGACATAACACTACGATAAAAGCATTAATGGATTTTTTGAGTTTAATGCCATATTCCCAACTCACGACGCAACTCAATTAATTCTATTAATTTTGAAACGATATAATTATATATCATAAAAAAACCATGAAATAATATATGAAGAAAGTGTCAGCTTTTTTTTTAGACCAGATGAAAACCTGTTGATGAAGAGATAGCTTTGCTTGATTTATAATAATAATATCTTATAAACATATATCGATCTTAATAAGCCAAACAAATAAGTTAAAAAAATAAAAAAATAATATTGCAAGTATCATGCTAAGTATTTGATATGTTGATCATTTATAAACTAAAGACCTCACAACTTGGCCCCATAAAAAATGTACCTGTTTCCACATATTACTCAAATCATATATAAACAGGGAGAGCCAAAAATAATAGAAAGGTGTGTGTATATATATATATATATAGAGAAAAATTCATATGTAAATCGATTTTTGGCTGTGAACCCGGAGGGCAAAGGAGAGCGCGACACGTACCACCGGTGTACACATTCAATATGAATAACGAATGTGACATGAACTATTCATGATAAATAATAAAATATGCATGATGAATAACACACAATCACGGTCTATGTTAAAATGATTCATCATTTATGATGAATAATACACATTCATCATTATTCATGATAAATAACGAGTGGACATAAGGGACACTTGTCGCACTCTCCTTTGTTCCTTGGTTCACAACCCAAACTCGGTTTTCATTTGAACCATATATATATATATATATATATATCCTAATAAATAAGTAACTTTTGGGACACGTGTCATATTTCTGTGCGGTGGTTATTAATTTTTTCCACCTAAACATGTATCTAGACACAATTTTCACTTACGGTTCAAATATGTCTATTTAAGTTACATGTGTCCCTTCGGACGGTTAATTTCACGTATTCGTGGTATAACCGCCTTCGCAGAGTAATTGGCGGTTTAGAGTTCCAAAATCTGGAGTCCTCCTTTCCAGATTTAGAGACCCGTCCAACGATTTCGCCTCCAGATTTAGAAGTAGGAGACTTAGAGTTCTCTGCATGTGTTATGCAGAGGCTTTGTGTCTGGAGTGAAGCTCTGCATCAATCACTTAACCTTTTTGGCGCTTAAGCCTTGATTTTCCTTGGAATACAATATGGGCTCTGTATATGAGACACTTAACTCTTGAGTAAGAGTTATGTCTCTTGATGTCTTCTGCATGAGAGCTGTTGGTCCAGACCGCTTCAAAAGACTAAGTCCTAAAGACTACAGTAAGAGACTTCTTACTTACACTTTTACAACATGGGGTATAACAATCTCTCTCTAAATGTAAATAAGGCAGACACAGACTGGAATGAAAACACGAGTCAAATCGAGGCTCTGCATGTACTATGCAGAGGCTATGCATGTACTATGCAGAGGCTCTGCATCAAGCACTTAACCTTTTTGGCGTTTAAGCCTTGATCTTCCTTGGAATACAGCACGAACTTTGTATATGAGACACTTAACTTTTGAGTAAGAGCTCTGTCTCTTGATGTCTTCTGCATGAGAACTCTGGAAAAATTCAGAGTTGTAAGTCTGAATTTAACTCTAGAGTGGTCATCAAAACCTTATTTAAAATTTCAAATTCGGATTTTTGAAGCATTTTTTAGCCAGCCAGGGGCTCTGCCCCTTGGACCCCGCCACCGAGGGTGCTGCCCTCGGACTCCCGTCGTTTAGGGGCTTCACCCTTAAATCAAAATAAACTCAAACAAGTGTGCATTCCGCACCTTTCTTACCTGTTCGATATTTATCATGATTACGTTGGTCAACAAGTTAATCCCATTACACTTTAATGACATTAGTGATACAAATCAAAAACATGAACTCATCATATATTGGTTATTTCTCAGACTTATAACATAACTCTGAATTGTTTTGTTCCAAACTTAGTTATATAGTTTATTTACAGACTTAGAATGCAACTCTGAACTCCTCTTCAGAGTTACGTTTTTGAGTTATAAGAAGTCAGAATTATTGTGACTCATAGTTATGTTCGTAGATATTTTCTAGACTTAGAAGACAATTCTGAATTCCTCTTACTCAGAGTTAAATCTAGAGTTATTTTTCAGCCTAACAATATAATTCTGAATTCTTGGTGTTCCAGAGTTAATGTCCAGAGTTTTTCTTATTTAAAATACCCCGTGTAATACACGGGGTCGAACCTAGTATATATATATATATATATATATATATATATATATGAACTGAATGGAATTGTTACTTTCCAAAAATGCTTTCTGAAAAGAAAGAAGGTCCATTTTCCCCGTAGTTCGTCGGTCAAACCAACGATTATCTTCTCAAAGTAATCGGGAGATCCTTTTCTAGTATATATATGTAAATCTATTAAAAGTTCTCAATCAATTAATATATCAATATAAATATTAAAAATATATTAAAGTAATAACCAAAATGTGGTTTAATGAGAAGTTTTCAAACATACTTATTTTTTCTTTATAAATGAAATTAGAATCCACAAACAAATATTTGTATTTACATCAATGCATATATTCTTTTATTTACATGCAAATTAAAATGCATTATATGTCATATCAAAATATATATATATATATATAGAGAGAGAGAGAGAGAGAGAGAGAGTTTGTTTCAAATGCAACTCATCGTATTTGTACAACCAATGCAACCCAATAAATTGAAATATTTATGAAAATGATGAGAGTTCATTTATTATGATTTAAATATTTATGAAAAATGAATAAGGTTCATTAATTATGATCAATACTTTATATTAGGAAACAATCAAAACTTCTATGAAATTACATATTTATCAAATTAAATGGACGGTTGAGATTAAGTTGTATTGGTTGTACAAATATAAGGGGTTGTATAATAATTCACCTCTCTCTCTCTCTCTCTCTATATATATATATATATATATATATATATTAAAAGAACAACTGAAGGTAAATGATATGACACAATGAGATTTGGGA